GAAGACTAAAAAATTTCAGTTCCTATATGTATATCCATATATATTTTCTTTGTAAATAAGCAGGAACTGTTAAACAAGGAAGCTCTTTAAAACCTTTTCTGTGAGACGTTATGAAGTTTATGATGTAGTTGAATAACTCCTACATATATACATTAGTTCTATTTTGTGGAGATTTGAAAGCAAAGAAAACTTTATTTAGTCTGTTTCTTTTTTTATTAGTTGTTGCTTGATTCTGTTTCTTTGCACAAATGTGGTTTTCCATTCTTCTTCTTATTCTATAGTTTTTGCTTTGTCTAATACTTTTTGCGGCTTGGCAATAGCAACTCGATATTTAGCAGATGGATTTGCTTTAGAAATAAAACATCTTTTTTATGAAATATAAGATGGACTGTCACTATATTATACATGTTGTGATGTGGGATCTGATTCATGAGCTTCTTTAAATGAATCTATAGTTATCTTACTATATGAATCTTATATGATGATACAAGATCATGGTAGCGGATCTTGATGGATCTGTTTGTTAGTCTTACTGTAAGAAATCCGAGACGACGATTTTTAGTACGACTTTTTGTATGATCAGGTCTGATCATAATGGATCTTGAAGTAAGATCAGATAAGAATCAGAGGCTGATCTTGACGTATCAGTTCATGCCCTGGGTTATTTCAATATTTCAAACTTTTTTTTCTTAAAAATCTGATATTTTTTTAACTATACTTGTAAGCCCATACTTTCTTCTGTTGGTAGATAGTATGATCCCTTCAACCAACATATACTGTTTGCATAAATATTATGTGGATCTTCGAATTCAGCTAGTTGAAATATAAAATAAATAATTGACAATGCTCTTTTTTTGTTGTTGAAATAAACTTACCCGGCGTCCAACAGTTGATTGGGTCACCAACATATTGAGTTCCTGTAATAATAAAAATACATATAACCAAACCCATAACTGTATATCGATTGTTAAATCGATCGATAAGATCATCATCTTCAAAATGATTTTGTGCTCGTCCATAACGTTCTTCAGCTATAATAATTTTATCCATTGAAATATAAACTAATGATTGATGACTTGATAAAGTTTTATTTATACAAATGAGCAAAAGAAAACTTATTTTTTCGATATCATAAATAATTATTATGTTTCTTTTTTTTCGATATCATAAATAGCTATTATATTTCTTTTTTTTCGTTCTCTTATGTTTCACGAATCCATAAGTAAATGGGAAGTAAAATACACAAATTAAAATTTTTGTTAGGTTACCTTCATCTACCATTCGATTCATGTTTGGCTGCTATTGACAGACTCGTTTTTTCGCTCGTTTATACAGATTCAGAATACAGTCGAATCCACTTATAAGAGCTCCGCATAACGGAGCGACCCACTTTTAGGAGCCGTTTTTCAATTTCCCGTTTTTTTCTCCTGTGTCTTACGTGCTGGCAACATCGCTTCTAAGAGCTTCGGATGAAGGAGCGATTCGCTTATTCGAACTTTGTCCAGGCGATTTTTTGCGATTTTAGGCCGCATAAAAGAGTTTATTTATCTATATGATTATAAATATGCATTTATGTTCTTCTTCTTTTTCTTTCTTGCCATGTACATATGATGAATTTTTCCTTTCCGTTATGTTGTTCTATGTCGGTGAAGCTATACAAGAAGAAGATTTCGAGGTGTTCGTTAATTGTGATAAAGATGTCAAATGTTTTCGAAATTTGCGATTTCATGAAACTAAATCGACAAAGAATAGTGGATCTAGAGGAAGAAGACGAAAAAGAAGTGGGAGTTTTTGATAAAACGATGCTAGGTGTCTATCATAAAGATCCAAAGATACATCTTTAGATGTTTTGCAAGTATTTGGAAGAGAATTTTACAGATTACAATTCATATTATGATATCGAAGACATGATCGAAAAGAACGCTTCAATTAATCGTACTCAAAGTACAATCACGGATTTCTTCAAGTAAATTTATGTATGTGTATGTATTACTTAATAAATATTGACAAGAATCAATTTTTGCACTGTTTTACATCTAGTTTGCATAAAGAAGCGGTCTGGATATAAGAACCACTTTTTGGAATCCCGACCGCGCTCTTATAAGCGGATTCGACTGTACATCGTAATCTTATTAGATAATGAACAAGATGTGATGACTACTAAACAGCATTAAAACAAAATATTTGCTTATTTTTTTCTAAAAAAAAACTTTCTTAAAACGTCTGAGTTTTTTGTAAATATGAACTATAAAAATAATTTTTATCAATACGAAATTTATTAGTTATAACAAGTAAAACAAAAAAACATTAATGTATTCACTACTTTTGTTTTTTTATTACAAAAAAATGGTTTCTGCTTTCTATACTAAATCACCATCACCATGGACATAATCTTCGTTCCATTGTATTTCATTACGACTATTAGTATCATTACTCTTATTTTCAATGGAATCTGCATAAACTTTAAAAATAGCACCAATAAGATTAGTCATGAGAATATCATTTGTATTCTGAGCAATAATACGTAGAACAAGTATACCATCTCGTCTTAGATAATCTTCGATAAATTTATCTACATCATCGACTTTTGATAGTGGTAAACTTAAATAAAGATATTTACGAATCAATGTATGATCAATATTAGTATAAATCGAAACAAGACATGAAATAAATGAAATAAGTGTAAGACCACTAAGAAATATAAACCATGCCCAAATAATTAGAAATACAAGTTCATTAAACAGATTTATTGGTAGATTACACTGTATTGACCTAGAATTCGAATATAAGATATGTAATAATAATATATATTATAAGTCTTACATCCAGTGATGGTTTGAGCCGAGATGTCGTACCATAAAATCACACATAACAACACGAGGAAACCATTTTGAATCATTTGATTCATTATTTATTCTTGGATAAACTCTTTGTGATATAGATAATAACCATTCATAACCAAATTTATGAAAAGGAAATGATAAAAACATAGATAGTAAATAAAACT